TGGAAAAAGCTCATCATCTTTATTTCCAGGGTTTTTCAATCGAAAAAGCAGCAGCTCGTGATTGATGTTCGGGACGGGGAACGGTTGACACATGAACAGAGTGTTTTCAGCCTGTCTTGAATGTTTTTAAGCCAGTATTCTTCGTCAGAGAAATGTGTCGGCGGATGGTTTCCCACTGTCTGCTGACGAATTAGCCGATTGCTGATGGTAGAGTTGGTACCATTGCGCTCAGTATGAAACCTGACATAGGGTTCAGCGTCCGAAAACGCCATTAGGGTGGGAAAGAGATTTCACCGAGTAAGCACGCTAAATTCGTGAAAGTTATCCTCAATGGAGGTGACTATAGTGATGGCTCTCTTAAACAAGGGATAGCTTTGCTGAATGTTAATACGTCTGAATAATTCAGCAATAATTCTCATTTCGATTACAGTTGGAAAGCCGTATTGGCAAGCAGCTGTTTCGGTCATTTATCATCAAGCATTTACAGAGACACGAAAGATTAGAAAGTAAATCGGGCAGTTTTTTACAGTGCTTATGTAGTTCTTGAGATGGGGGGGGGTGGGGCAATTAGTCATCTCGTCGTTACCTTGTCTCGTGCATGCCGGATTCAACGTCCATGTCACTGTAAAGGCCTGATGATATATGACCGAAAACAGCTGTTTGCCAAAACAATTTTTTAAATTCTGAATAGCTTATTCCAGATTGTTATGGCATTGTTATGCTATTCCAGCTTGCTAAAATACATATTATAAAGGCTGATTCGTATGCTGATGTTTCTTAAATGTCTGAGAATAAATCCGATATTTCGGCGCGCTTTCAAGAAGCTAGGGCGCAGTGTTCTAGTAGATTAAGACCATTAGAATACGATATATCCTGATGCTTGATAACTCCGAGCACATAAAGATCGTACCGGTCTATGATTAATTCAGGCAGATGAACATTGCCAACAACCATAACGGATCAGTTGTGCCGAGAAGAGGAAAGGTTCCACGTGCAGCGCCAATGGGCAAAGGCCTGAAGATACTTCTCTGAGAGCTCAAGCACAATGTTGCGATCCTCTGGTTTATCTGGATAGGCACCTTGTAACCCATTTTCTGACTGTAAACTATTTTCCTGGCTGTAAACCATTTCCGGACCCTAGTCTCTTTTCATTCTCTTTCGCACTGTTCCGCGATAGCTCATTCTACAACTTTATATTTACTGTAACAACTATATAGTTTACTTTACATTAATAGGGTCCTCAAGGACATTCCTTGCCTGTAACCCTTCAAATTTACATACATACACGAATCGCCGATAGACATAAAGAGCCTACCATACTGAAGGCAATCAGGAACATCGTTCACAAAAAGGCAAAATAAGAGTCGGCTAAACGCGCTGCCCTAAATATCTCATCTCCTCACATATGTGTGGTTGGAAATAACTTTAAAATGTTAACGCGTTGTGTGCAAACACACAAGTGGAAGACCATTTAAGTCAGAAGATTGCCACTTATGCCGAAAGAGCCTGCACTGTTTACGAAAAGGATGGTCCTACACGACCTGTTCAGAAAGTTCTACGACCCTTTTTTGTCTCAATTGGATTATGGTCTAAGGTGTATTATCTACAGCTGGAATGAGAGCAGGCGAGCGCTACGGTGGTAGATAATCTTGGTCATCTGCCGCACGAAGCCAGACTGCATGAAATAGATTTGTCTCCTTTCAGTTACAGGAAAGTACGCGATGATCTCCATCAAAACTACCGAATCGTCGGAGGATATGAGTGTGCCGTATAATTTGTTGCCTCCTCGAATTGGCTCGAACGCACCATCCGCGGGTCAGCTCTTTAGACTGCAGAGGAAGCTGGCCCATATGGACGTTCTTCGGAACGCCTTCTCACAGAGGGTCATCGGAGCGATGAACGGACTCCCTGATGAGACGGTCCTTTTAGAAAACGACGCGATATTTAAATGGAAACTCGATTCTCATTTCTTGAGAACCTGTTATACATATAATGAACGGTAGGATTTATCGTGGGGCCGCCAAAGTGTATAGGCCCCCTACCCAATTTTCTTACGGAAATCGTGGTTAAAGTTTTAATGCGTTTGATGAATATGCAGTTTCAACGATCCATTCGAGGGCCTTGCTGTGTTGCCTTATCCTGAGAGATCGTTGTAATCTCCTTCCGGCTGCGAAGCCACAAGAAATCGAGGTTAAATAGGTTCACAACGTTTTTGGTAGGACAAGTTACGGTGTTCTGAAGAAAAAACTCTTTTAGTAAAGAAGTGCCGGGTCGATTCTATTTACTTCGTTCACTAGCGCGCAGAAGGCTAAATAGGGGCGAGCAGTATTCGATACTAGGTCTCACTTACATATTATAAAGGTTAGTTTTATACTTGCTGGTCTTAAAATTTCTGAGAATAAACCCGGTAGTTCGGCGTGTTTTCGAGAGTCAGGGCGCAGTACTCTGACAGATTGAGACTATTAGAATAGGATATGCCCAGATCCTTAATAACTTCGGGCACATTTATTTCGTGACCATCTATGCTTAGTTCAGGCTGATGATCGTTGCTGACAACCATAAGGGAATATTTGTGCCAACAAAGGGAGAGGCGCCATGTGCAGCACCACTGGGCAAAGGCCTGAAGATCCTTTTTTATAAGCTCGGTCACGATGTTCCAATCTGCCGGTTTATATTGATAGGTGACTTTTAAATCGTCAGCGTACATAAGGAGTCTACCATACTGAAAGCAATGAGGAACATAATTGATAAAATAGCAAAATAAGAGCGGGCCAAGTACGCTACCCTAAATAACTCCACTCTTCACATGTGTGGAAATGGAGATGACATTGAAAATTTTAAATCGTGGTGTACGAGCTCCCAAATACGATGATATTAGATTCGGAAGCTTGTTACCTTCGCCGCAAGAGGCAAATTGCAGGAGGAGGAGATTATGGTCAAGACGATCAAAGGCCTTAGTGAAATCAAAATAAACTACATAAAAGGCAAAACCACTGTCTCTAGATTGTGGCACATAATCAAAGAAAGAGATTGGGCAGGTTTCACAGGATATTTTTTCTCAAAAAACCCATGCTGAGCCGCATTAAGGAGGTTGTTCTCTGTCAAATGACACATTATCTTGTGTTTGATCAGACTCTGCAAAATCTTCGAGCCTGTGGGAAGTGTATTTATTAGCCTAAGGTCATCAAAAGAGGTCATGCGGTCGTGTTTCGGAATCGGCAGTATGTACGATTCCTTCCATAGCACAAGAAAAATTTTGCTTTCAAGAGCAAAATTAAATATCTTACACAGAATAAACGGGGAAATATCATTCTCTTCAGCTTTTATAAGGCTGACCGGAACGCCATCTGGTTCTGCACTATGATATTGACAACAACGACGAATGGCTACGGTCACGTCCGAGAGAGTAAAACCTGTGGTTTCGAGGACGGCACCCATACAAACCCGGATGGTCGGAAGTGCAGCGACCAAGCTTTCATTGAACAATCTGGATAAGAACGCATTGAAGCTATCCACGCCCAACTTAGCGTTAGCTATGGGGTTTCCAAAGGCGTCTTGAAGTATGCGGTGCTGCGCCTTTCTCTGCGCTTTTCCTGTGCGCGAAAAGAGCTTTGCAAGATTTGGCGAAGAGTTTTCAGCAGAGTTGACCCTATCGGCTATCTGTCTTTCCTCGGGAAGCTTCTTAGCCTGCTCAAAGATCAGTTGGAACAAGGGCAGAACGGAAGTGTCCTTCTGTTGATGCAAACGACGCGAGAGTCTACGCAGCCTACGGCGTAAAGATAGAGGAAGGAAGACTTCATCCTTGACATGCATTATTTTCTTACGGGGGAATAGACAAGAAATGATTGGATCCAGAACTGTGTACGGTGCATCAGTACAACAGTTCACATCCAAACATAGGAAAAAGGCAGGCCAGTCGAGAGAATTAAGATCTATGCGTAATTCCGCCGTATTTTCTGATCGGAAGTCATGGAAAAATATATTTCTGGAAAACGTTTCGTCTACCTCCAATTCTAATGTAGCAAGAAATGTAAGATGTTCTGAAAACCCAAGCGCCCCTAAAGATGATACCAACAGTGGTTCGCATCCTCTACAGAAAATAAAGTTATGCGAAAATATTCGCGGTCCAGAGATAATTTTACCTTCATTTTCCCCAG